TAAAATACAGATAACATTTATTCAACATGATAATTTCTTCCATTTATAGAAAATCTGAAACACATTCTGTGGTCTAACTATCTATTTTCTTCAACAATTTTTAATACCACTAAAGTTCAAAAGAAAAACTTTGAAAACTGTATTATATATTTGAAAGAAAATGCTCAAACAAAATTATCAGTTTTTTTTCAAAAACAAAAGTCATTTTACTATTGTTTATCCAATCTTTAAGGCTCTTCCGAAATCTGTCAGACATTTCACTAGATCTCGAAAAGAGAAACATACTAACGAGGAAACCCCACCACCTGATTAAAATCTTTCTGACTCATGTTTACACCATACGTAGTGCTTAGTAAGACTAGATAAATCCTAAAAGGATTTCTTTGAATGGGCCTATTTGGCTTAGATATGAACATTTCAAGTTTAAGGACGAAAATGTAGAGAGATTGTCTGTTGTCCATGAATTACAATGCTAACATATATCAATATATACTTTTTTGTTGAAATGCTCATCAATAAATTGTGGAGCTGTTCAAAAAATTGTGCTATGATGTTTATTTGATGATCTAGCTGCTACATAAAAGAAATACCAAGATGGCAGCGAAGAGTCATGCAATCGATCGCCTTTGATTACATGTAATGGGTGTTGAAAAGATCTATATTTTGATTCTTTCTTCGTTGGTTATCACACTCACTAAACTATTACGTAGAAACAGCTAACAACTCGTGTTTCAGTTGTCCTAACGATTTTAGTATTTGTTTTAACTTTTCTATCTATTGCACCAGCGAATGAAAAGATTTCAGGCATGTCTACACCACTCTCAGGATGATTTCGGAGAAATGCGTAAAACACTTCAATCTATAAGTATTTTGAAAAGTAGATTTTTCTTTTGACACATATTAACATTATAATTCATGCACAACGACCAATCTATCTACATTTTCATTCCTAAACTTGAAATGTTCATATCTTAGCCAAATAGGTCCATTCAAGGAAATCCTTTTAGGATTCATCTAGTCCCACTAAGCACTACGTATGGTGTAAATATGAGTCAGAAAGATTTTAATCAGTTGGTGGGGTTCCCTCGTAAGTTGTCGACAAGTAAGTGTTCCTTTTTTTTTTATTTAATTGACTAATTATAGGTATTTCAAATCGATCATCTATATTTTACAAAAGATAATTCAAGTTTACGAATGAAAACGATATCTTAATCAATACTCTTCATCGAACTATCTCATTTCCATCGATTGATGATGGTTTATCAGGTAAAACTACCCAATTAAATGATCCGTTGTTCAGTAAGTATTCCTATTACAAAAATCTGTTGGTATATTATCAGCACCAGCTGCACCCGTTATACATTGCATAGCTGTTTTCAATGCTGAACATTGATATTCATCTATCAATGCATCATGTAGTGTATTATTTATAGATATTCGAGTTTCATTAACATCATAATTACTTTGAATCTATGATTATTTTATTAAATAAATAAAAGAAAAATATCATTAGAAACTAACCTGTTCTTTATAAATTCTTTCTAATGTTCTATTGAATGATTTTCGATAATTTGAATAAATAATAATTGGATTTAAACGATTTTTTAATTGTTTATTACTTATTTTATATAAAGTTAAATTTATTTGATCTAGTTTTTTTTCAATATATCCATCATGATCAGATTGATCATTTTCAGTTTTATAATCAATTGTACGTACTGTATTAGAAATTAAACTATCTATTAAATTTTTATTTATTTTTCTTATATATTTAATCATATTCAAATGATTTGTTTTTGATACATTTAATTTAACTCGATCATTAATAACTTTTGCTACTAAAATATCATCCGTAACAAGCTATAGAAGAAAAAAATAAGTAAATTATTGATTAATCATATACATGAAGAAATAAATCTATCTCATAAAATAATTTAAAATCTTCTTCTAAATCATAATTTGACAAAAATAAGTCTTTTTGTGTTCCTAAATGTTTAATAAACTTTAAAAAAAATTAAAGTGTGATTTGTCGATTTACATATAGTGGCATTAAATGTAAACGACCACGATCATTCATATCAAATATATAACCATCATCAATGTCACGCATACCAAATACAAATGAAACAGCTGGATAAGTAAATAAACGTTTATCTTCTTTTAAATAACCATTAAATTGACTTTTCATTGAAAATTCACAGATATATGAGACCTACAGATAATGCATTAATAAAAACAATATTTAATCTATTTTAAAATTGAGAAAGTAAATCATCTAACCTAGAATACCCATAAGAAGAAAAATTAATACTAATACATAACGTAATTTAATATTTATTAATGGCATAAAATGACCAAAAATATAATTTCGAAAATATCTACAAGTTGATGAAAAACGGTGATATAATTTCGCTAGTGCACTATTTGCTGATTTATTCATAAAATCAGTAAAATACATTGAAAGTACATGAGATATCATATTTTGAATATGCTTTTCATAAATAACCTTCAATATTTCAGCAAAAGCAGCAATTGCAGTAAATGTAATAGCAAAATAAATTAAAACACATATTCCAATAAAAATTCCGAATACTTGAATAAATGAAATATTAGTTAATATATTTGTAAAAAAAAGCAACTGATGTTGTAAATGATGTAGCAAACATTGATAAACCAGCATGTTTTAATGTATTAGACATTATTTCCATTAATGCTTCTTCATTTAATAATATTTTACGAATTTCTTTAGAATGTTTACATAAAAATAAAAGATGAGAAGATGATCTTTTTAATTTGCTTGGATTTTTTTGTTGATTTGAAGGTACATCATCACGAATATTTATAGAATTTAATAACATATTTGCATCTACATTAATGAAATAAATAAAATAAAATTTACTTTCAGTTAATAGTTTATTTTGATATTTTCTTAACCATTCTAGTTTTTCTTGATATTGTAATACTTTGTAAATAACATATTGTTATGCCAATAATTAATCCTGCTGCCATTATAATAAGTAACATATCTAAATAATAGATATTTTGCTTGTTTTCATTTGTATACAATCAGAGTTTTACAATCAATATAAATCCAATGATTATTTATCAATGAGAAAACTGTTTCCATCTTCTTGTCTAATTGCTGATTTTTATGATATTGTACATATATAGTATAGGCAATACAACTTGGGCACTAGATGAATTTATTCCAGCTGATTGTATGTAAATGTTTCGGAATTCAGACAAAGATTTTTCTAACAATTTTGATTTTTTACAATCACTGTATAACACAAGTACTATAAGGAAAAAGTTAAAACTCTTCATTTGAGACTTCTCATTAATGTTATTTGCTAAGTTTCACGAGTTAAGATTCGACAGAAAATAACACATGTTCACCTACTTACTACAAATGTGCTCATTATACAATTTGATGGACTAGAAACAAAATTTTTCGACTATCGTTTGTATATCACGTTATTACTTTTAATAAGTGATAAAAAGTTATTTGAAAGCAAACCAATTGTTCCTCATAAAATTCAATCATACCGTGTCATAAAAGTTTTTTATTAGTCGACAAATAAAGTCAATAGATCATCTTGAAATATACATGTATTACTGTCTATGGAGTTCATAAATATGAAGACTGAGATTATCAGAAGTGTAAAGATTCGCCAGGAGTAGAAATGTAATACTGGCAGTTCACCGTTGATTGATGCATAAGTATGATGGTCTTATATTGGCTCCGAAGTTTTAACTGGTAAATCATTGGATAGATAAAACAACTGAAATTTATGTAGAGAAATTTTTATTTTCTTTTTTCATCCTTTAGATTAAAGGTTTCACTATGTATGTATCGTATAGTTTTACTTAAGTATTGCGCTAGAGTGCGTCTCGTTTTTTTACCCCTTGGTAGATCTATTCACAAAAAGCTTATTTTTCTGTTAGTTAATCAAAATTAAAACTAACCTTCATATACCTGTACGATAGGTGCTTTTTCTCTAACAGCAGCAAAATTTAATGCAATAAGTTTTACGAATTCATTTTTATATTTTGATAATTGTTGTTTTCGAGAAAATTTCTTTATGTATATCTCAATTAATTGCGGTTCTCTTAAAATTGGTACTAGTAAAATAATTTGCTCAGTTTCATTGAGACATTGATGTTTATATTGACAATATTTTTCACAATTCTCTAATATTAATTCTTCATTAGCACATGATTTATCAATAAAATTATTTTTATAATCATCAATACAACCATGATCTTGACAATGTTTTCTTGTATATGGTTGTCGTCTTAAACACATTGTTTGATCACGTGTACGATTATATTTTATTATTTTATAATTTGATATAAATATCATAGATATTGATAATTTTGTATGATTTTTTGAATATTGAAATTCATTTATAAATTTTTTATCAATAAAATGATCAAATATAAAACGTGTTATATTTTAATAAAAACAAGTGTGACGTAAAGCAGTATAAACAGCTTTAGTTTGTTCTTGATAAGTACAAAAGCCGGGCTGACGTTCAAATGAAACATGATTAAGAAATTTATCACTAAATGATACATCCATATAACCATTTACATAATATGGTGAACAAGTACGAAGTATCGAGGATGTGGGGTGTGAATGATGAAAATACGCATACCCACCCATACACTAATAATCAAGTATGATTATATTCTAGAATCATTTAAACGGATACATAGTCAAAGCCAAAAACAATGTTTTTAGCAAAGATCAAATCCCAGAGCTAACAATCAGACGGTAAAATCGCACAAGATCGTACCGTTTGATTGTTAGAGATGAGATGGCTATAATGGTTCATAGGATCACTTATCAGTGTAATCATAGAATCTGAAATGCACGAAAAGTGTGACTCATGAGGATCATTGGAGTGCTATCTTACAACAATGAGAACGACATTAAATGTTGAAACTCTCGCTTTTTTGTCTCGTTTTCCGATCGATTAAGATATGTTTATGCAACTGGTTTTATTTAAATGTAAATAGGCAATTATATTCCAAATGAAATTTGATTTATTTGATTTTGAAATCGTGTCATATTGTATTCGGCAGACACTATACAGTAAAATAATACTGTAAAAACACAAATCACATACTAGTTTCATTTATATTATTCTTTCCTCGCATTAAATTATTGTAGGTTGGTGGTAGTAAAGACTCATCCTCCATTGTCATTTTTATTGACCATTGTCGTATGACGTTGTCATAGGAAGGTGGTGAATCTGAACTTTGATTCTCAATTAAAGTTGTTGCTCTTCTAATATTACAATTATTGTTTTCTGACAGTTGCTCTTGTGTTGAATCTGTTGAGTTTCTTACTGTTGTGTCTCTGATCAAACTTTGGATTTCTAGAGACCGTAAATTTAAGTTCTCTATGTCTTGCTGTGTGGCCTCTAAATATATTGATCTGTCACCAGTATAAGTTGATGTTTCTAATCGTTCTATAGTGGAATTATTGTGAATTACAGGATTATTATATTCAACATCATTGTTCGAATTATCACGAGATGGACGACAAAGTGCTGCACTTAAGCATATAAGAAAGCATAGAGGAAAAAATATCATATCAAATAGCGATATGTCACAACCGCCATGAGTTCTTCCACAGGCGCTGAATTCTAGACAAAAATGAATCAATGACGAGTAAAAACAAAAAACAATAACAGAAAATGTCTATTATTTAACTTACTAGAACAGCACCAACGATTTAGTGATGTACCACATTTTTTCGCTAGAATAAAATACGAAAAAAGTTCCATATAAAACTTCTTTTTCGTGTCATTAGTTCGTATGACTTACACTTAAAACAAGAGTGAAACAACGCAGCAAAAAAGAAATATCAATTACTTCGAAGAATGATAGTCATTCGTAGAATTTCCAAAGATATTTATAGACTTTACATTAAGGGACCCCGTCAGCAAACCTATTTTTTCGAAGAAAACTCGAAGTTGAGATTTTATGATAAGAAGATACGCCCAAGCCTTCTCTTTCAGAATATATATGCTTTTTTTTCTAAAAATGCCAGGTTTTAATAAACTTACTAAAGGAGATTGAGGACCTACTATCATGTTTTTCGAGACATTTTCGGAAGTCTTTCAAAAACTGAAAAACATTGCTTTTCTATTTTAATACATTGTATTAAAAAAAAACAAAACATACCACAAGATGCAGCATGAGAAGCTCTACAATTTGTAATTATAATGCCGCTTATTTTATAGTTGCATTTTTTTGTTTTAAAAATCGACAAAATTCTGAAAATATGCCATTTTCATATGTTAGTTTTTGAACTTAAATAGAAAAATCCATTTCTAAATTTGTTTTTCGTTTTTCTCAAAATCAATTTTTTTGAGCATACTATTTACGCGGACAAGGTTTTCTTAATAACGACTCAATAGAGAAGGGATAATTTTTTTTTATTGTATAGCCGCCAGTTAAGGCTAGAACTTAACAGGCTCCGATTTTTAAATTTCTCTCTTGCTAAAATAAAAAAACTTGGATATTTCATTTGTATTAGCGCTTTGGATTTGTCAATTTTCCGAAAAACGGGTTTTTGAAAAGTAAATAAAGGGAAATTCAAAAATCGGAGTCTGTTAAGTCGTAGCCCTAACGGTGCTCTACAATTTAAAAGCCACCTCGACATGATTAACTAGTGTCTCCATTATGAAATCCTTGCCCGCATGACGGGTAATGAATTGACTATAACTTGTGCATATCTTTGAGATTTGGGGAAGATATTTTAACCATAATCTATTCTAGCTAAGACTAACATTCTTGAAAATTTTGGTTGAAATCGGATGAGAAAATAACAAAGTTCGTTTCTGAGAGGGGACCTTAACATGATACCACAATACATCGACATTTGTCATTACTAAAGAGATATGTCTTTTCTATTCGATCTCGGCACGTCATATCAAATAATGAGAAAAGGTGCGTTTTTCCATTGTTTCCAAGAGAATTTGATTTTGACTCTATGGTTCAATGAATAAAAGGCCTTGATTGGCTCAAATATTTTAAATAAAAGTTATGTTAGAGCAATCAGTCTTGTCGAAGAGATCTCTCAAAATCTGGCTGATTGAAATAGATTTTGCATGGCAGAGAGTTTTTATGAATTCGTGACATAAACTCTAAGGAAGATTTCACTTGGAAGCTGAATTTTAGTTATAGGCAAAACCAGCCAGCGATCACCCTTGCATGAGAAGGGTTTTTAACTGAGAAAAATAAAGAAAACTGCCTCTAAAATTAAAAGTGCCTTGTCGATAGATTGCGAAACATGTTGTGCAAGCTGTGAGGTGCTCTGTTTATGAGTGATATAAATCCTAGTGGTTGTCTGAAAAACATCTAAAAAGAGGATTTTTGGCTAATTTTGCGAAAAAATTTTAGTCGTCAATCTTGTTACATTTCATTTTTCGCCTGGAAAATAGAGTGAAGTTCTAATATAATTCCGTTCTGAGATTGAAACTAATGCATTTGAGCCGTAAAACTATCTTAGTACTACTTGCTTATTAGAAAAACAGATGAGTTTTTATCATGACACTTTGAAGTTTGAAGTTCACAAACTGTCCCCATTAAAACATCAAAAAAAGACGAAATTCTATAACGAACAGTATTTGGAGTGTTTTGATTCGATGCAGCAATGTTTTCTCAGAAATAAACTGATATTCTGAGAGCTCATGGAAAACTGGATTAGTTGGATATAAAATGTTTATTTGTACGCCACTTCGTTCCGCAGAGAAATGTTAAACTATGAGGTCACCCTAAAAATATTTGCATTTTTGAAATTTTGTAACGGTCACTATTCTGTGGAACTCACATGTATTTTCGAAGAAAATAGTGAGTATAAGTTTTAAGTTGAAGTTTCGCAGTCTATATGAACTATGTGAGTTCCACATTTTTAGTCCCATAGGGGTTGCGCTGACAAGCTTTTTTTTCATAGCTCAGCCTTTGCTAGGTCAAAATTGATGACATTTTTATTGATAGTATATATAAGTGATCTCTATCTATAATAAAAGTTTCGCAGACGTTACTCTTTACTATTGATAAATTGCGGGTGTTACAATTTAAAAACATGAAATTCCATAACGCTGGTTTTGCCCTCATATTCTCTTCATCGATCTACAATTAAACAACATGTAACGTTGGTTGACACTTCCTTTGTGCACAATTCATTGAGTTATCGACTAATATGATCCACACATTTTCACAATATATTGCAAATCACCTTAGTTTGCAGATATATCCTCATCAAGGTCGACTTTCTACCATAAATTTTTTTATTAAAATATTTCGCACTCAGAGATCCTTTATTCGAGACGAAAACCTATCCATTATGTCAAGTTTTTCTCGCTATACACAAGCTACAATACAGATCTTTTCTAATGGACAACGATAAAAAATGAATATTTTTTATAAGATAGTCAAGTAGAGATAAGCTTTTGTATATAGTGATCGGTATCATACGAAATTAGTCTTGGAAAGAACAAGGCTATGTAAAAACTGTTTATGTTGTACTTGTTCAGAATGAAACAAAAAAAACTATTCTAGTTCTTTTTTAGACAAAAAGAAGAACTGAATGGACAGATTGGCAATACTAGTAGATGATTATGAATAACGATCAAAACTCAATTTGAATGTATTATAAGAACTACTTAGGACATGTTACTTGAATGAGGACAAGATTTTGTTCTAAACGACTTCCAGTATTCGTCACTGATATGTTGAAGACTCTTGAAAGTTTCGCTTGAGTCGTAAATAGGAGGTTTGTTGATGGCACGAAGACTGTATCTACCAGTAGTCGCAATTGTTGGCTTTTGCATCTTAGAATAAAATTGTTTGTCAAATGCATGAGGATATAATACTGTTGATCTGTCATTAGTAGAAAGAGAAGATGAAGTACGTAGAAATTTTGATCGATTTGTCGTCATCAATAATTTTTGGCTAAAAATGTTCGGATTGAAATTTTCCGATTGAACGAATAATAACTGAACGAGAATGAAGATAATCTTGAAATAATGTATCATTATCAATGAGTTTTATAAGTACGAAATTGAATATAAATCATCTTATTTTATAATAAATGCCGTTAGATAATCTAAATCAGAATTTAAATTCAGAAGATATTTATATAAATGTGCTTTTATTTTCTTATTTTGTCACAGAACAAAAGCATGTTGAAGGCAAATAATAAGAATTGAGGAAATTGAAGTTATTCAATCAATACTACGAATTAATCAATTTTATTTTCCGTTCTTCTCAAATGTCACAATCGTTAGAGAAAAATGAAGAATGACCAATTTTTCTCTGAGAGAGACGATATGCCTAAACAATAGA